TCCCCGTAAAAAACTCGTCTGAAAGAATTTTCCCTTATTTGCCCCCCCCCCCCCAACTATTTACACCCCTGCCTGTGTGTGATGTATTTTTCTTTATCACTGTCCAAGTAGATCCAGAAAATAACAAAAAAATAAGTACAAAAAATACAGTACAAAGAATGGTGAAATGTAATGCGTTTTTGTACTTATTTTACTGTTAATTTCGGGATCTACAGGGACAGTGATAAATATCTACCAGTTGATCGCGATCGACAGGTTGGCGACCACTGATGTAGATGCATTCCATTCAGTTTCATTTTGATTGATACTCAGTAACAATTGCCATTACAATTTTCAAATTGTAGGTCTGCAACTTCGACTACAATCCAAGTTACCTGAAAACTGTGTGCTCAGGAAAGCACTGAACCAGTTTGAGCCAGACAAACAATCATGAGCCAACTTACAGACAGAAGGTCAGTGACTTATGCCATCAGTAATGCAAATGTGTGTCTGCTGACTAATAATTGATCAGCATCATGTTTATATCAGGAGATAAGGCTGAACATCTGCAGCCTGCTTGGGAACCTTGACAGATCCAAGCACCAGGGAAGTGTTTTTGGGTATTTTTCAGCCACATGACATCCTGTCTTTAGTAGATGGAAGACCTGCTGGTATTTGCTGCACAAAGACAGAGCTCTCGTTGTGACAAGGACAAGGCGTGACAGAGACGCAGGCCTATTGGTGAGTTGAGACAGCTGGACAGGCCCGGTGACGTCCCCTTATGAGTCAGACCTGATAGGACAAATGTGGCCAAATATAGTTCAGGTCTGAAATGCAGCGCCACACAAACTTTCAGATTTATTTATTAAAGAAAAAAATCCTAAAAAGAGGTTCATGGTTTCCACAAAAGTATCAAGCAGCACAACTGTTTTCATCATTGATAATAATAAGAAATGTTTATTGAGCAGCAAATCAACATACAAGTGATTTCTGAAGGATCATGTGACACTGAAGACTGATGCTGATTAAACATCACAGGAAGAAAAAATACAATAGAAAGCAATTATTTTAATTGTAATATTTCACAATATCTGTTTTTTTAAAAACTATTTTTTATTATTTTTGATAACGTAAATGCAGCTTTGGTTAGAGTAAGAGACAAAACATTTAAAAAAGATGGTACTGTACTACACGTTACTTGCATCATACAAACTATTGTATGATGTGTATATATTTATATATAATTGTTTTGTATGAAATTGACTTAAATATTTCCCTTTTTGTTGTCTTTCCTGTCACAGCTAGTAGAGATCCTGGGAGTGTGCAGACTCTTGTGGTACCATCAGCCAGTCAGCGTTGTCGGGTCCAGTGCCAGCTGAGCAACTGCGAGATGAATGAGAATGCTAACAGACCATGCTCTTCAGGTAATACAGACCTCCTGTTAAAATCCATTAAATAGTACCAGCTATGACACTAAATACATTCACCAGCTACTAAGCACATCACTGACAGCACCCATAGAGATCACATTCTCATTTACATGTCAGGGCCTTTATCATTATACACTGAACAAAATTATAAATGCAACACTTTTGTTTTTGCCCCCATTTTTCATGAGCTGAACTCAAAGATCTAAGACTTTTTCTATGTACACAAAAGGCCTATTTCTCTCAAATATTGTTCACAAATCTGTCTAAATCTGTGTTAGTGAGCACTTCTCCTTTGCCGAGATAATCCATCCACCTCACAGGTGTGGTGTATCAAGATGCTGATTAGACAGCATGATTATTGCACAGGTGTGCCTTAGACTGGCCACAATAAAAGGCCACTCTAAAATGTGCAGTTTTATCACACAGCACAATACCACAGATGTCGCAAGTTTTGAGAGAGCGTGCAGTTGGCATGCTAACTGCAGGAATGTCCACCAGAGCTGTTGCCCGTGAATTGAATGTTCATTTCTCTCCCATAAGCCATCTACAAAGGCGTTTCAGGGAATTTGGCAGTACATCCAACCGGCCTCACAACCGCAGACCACGTGTAACCACACCAGCCCAGGACCTCCACATCCAGCATCTTCACCTCCAAGATCGTCTGAGACCAGCCACCCGGACAGCTGCTGCAACAATCGGTTTGCATAGCCAAATAATTTCTGCACAAACTGTCAGAAACCGTCTCAGGGAAGCTCATCTGCATGCTCGTCGTCCTCAGCGGACTCTCGACCTCACTGCAGTTCGTCGTCGTAACCGACTTGAGTGGGCAAATGCTCACATTCAATGATTATCTCGGCAAAGGAGAAGTGCTCACTAACACAGATTTAGACAGATTTGTGAACAATATTTGAGAGAAATAGGCCTTTTGTGTACATAGAAAAAGTCTTAGATCTTTGAGTTCAGCTCATGACAAATGGGGGCAAAAACAAAAGTGTTGCATTTATAATTTTGTTCAGTGTATATAGGGTGTACAGTGCATTTACTTTAGCTGACTGTAAACACAGTATAACACAGCCTTGAGTGGCTTATTACTTAATTCCAAGTGTTTGTGTAGTTACTCAGAAATAATGGGATAAAAGATGATGCTGGTCTCATAGTTCATTCAAAATGTTGTTAAATGACACGTGAGGGAAAGGAAAAAAGAATCTAGAAAATTAGATATTAACATCAATAACCACCAAAAAAAACCTGAATCACAATTGAAATCATTGAACAAACATCTTGGTTTCATTTTTAATGTTTCATTTTTCTTTGACATTTGAACATTACAATAGTTTTCTTTCCTCACTCTGTTCCTTTCAGTTGTTTAAATATTATTACGTGACTGGATCTGTAAATCTTTTTGAGGCTCCGACGTTAAGTGCGTTTGCCTCCGGCCACCAGACTACACCAAATAAAACAAAAGTCATTAAAAACAAAAGAGTTTACATCTTCAGCAGGAAAAAAAAGACACAGTTACATCAGATCATTTAACATTAAAAAGCTGCATTTTTTATATATATATATATGCGTGTTTGACCTAAAACAGCTTTTCAACTTGAAAGAAAGCAGCAGCGCCAGGTTTCAGGTCAACAATTTTTTTTCAGTGTCTTCAACTGGCTGTATATTAAAATACGTCAATATTTCAGATAAAAGGTTCGCTATGTCCTTGAAATGAAATCTTGAGCGCACCAGTAATAGATTGCTTTTCATTTGGCTTCTTCTCGACCTGCATTCTGGATGCCAGCGGCAGAAAAATAAAAGCAAAATTCACTGAACAATTTTTCATACATCAAATCTCTGTAAGGTCACTCGTGACAGCTAGCATGTGCAAGAAGAAAACCGTCGTTCTTTTTGTACACAGTGCAAAGCTTCCTTTGTACACTTGATCTGCTCTGAATAAATAAAATCTCACAGGACTGAGGTATGATTCATTAAAAATGTTTGCCGCCTTGAGCCTAAAGAGAAATAAACAGTTTCATTCACGTACAGTCCACGACAGGTTCCAAAATCAAGAGGAACGTTCTCTATTAGACAACATTAACAACAGACAACATAGTAAGTTTCTTTTTTTTCTCAGGAGTGTAAAAGTCTCAGAATGTGCAGAACACAAGAAAAAGTCCTTTCGTTGATCACTACATGGTGTGCTTTGGACGGGAGTGGTGTTTTGGAAACTCCACGGCGAACGAGGAAAGTTTTCGCTCATGTTATGTGCATGAGTATGCTGGTATTACACCTGTAAAATGATTCAGCTCATGTATATACAATAATTTGAGAAATCAATGTATTACTTTTCACCGTCATACTGTCAATTGCACCCTGATTTTTTTTCGAAACACCATCAGAAAAATATGCCTGAACTGATTATATGCAGTGAAGTATATTTACATTTCTTTCTCTTATATTTGAAATCACCATGTTTTCATTGGGGGAAAAAAATTACAGTACACATTTTTTTTCTCTCTAAATGACAACAACAACACAGATAGATATATATATATATAAAAAGGACCATAAAAATATTGGACGAGAAATCAATGTATTACTTTTCACCGTCATACTGTCAATTGCACCATGATTTTTTTTCGAAACACCATCAGAAAAATATGCCTGAACTGATTATATGCAGTGAAGTATATTTACATTTCTTTCTCTTATATTTGAAATCACCATGTTTTCATTGGGGAAAAAAATTACAGTACACATTTTTTTTCTCTCTAAATGACAACAACAACACAGATAGATATATATATATATAAAAAGGACCATAAAAATATTGGAGTCCTCTCCCTCTGTATTGCCCAAAAATAAGTCAGTATGACCAACAATGAGACTTCACAATTAAAAACGGCTACTAAGATGATTTTCTTTTTTCCAATAGATGAATGACATGGTGTCTGTCCATATGTGCAAAAATAAAGTTAACTGCCACCAAAATCGAGGGGAAAAAACTCAAAATTGTGACAACAGCTAACTGAATAATTCACTCATCTAAGTATGTTTGTCTAAAAGCTGAAGTCATTTAAAAAGCATACACAAAGAAAACAGCGTGTGGAAAAGAAAAATGGGAAGGAGTCCTGCAGTGACAGGAGGGTTGGATAACATTTACAGCAGTTGTGATGTTTGTTTTCTGAGATGATCGTATTTTTCTTGTCCTCTGTGTTTGGTTCCACCCCTCTTGTCCATTCACCAATCAGAACCTGTAGTGCTTGAAGTCTTTATGACATCAACTGTACACGAACTAATCAGAGACTCCGGCCCTTTTTCCAGGGCTTCCCGATGAACTCTGGTGAATCAAAACCAATAGGAGTCTTGTTGAAATTATGAAAGGAACAGCATAAAAAAAAAAGAGAATCAGAATGAGAAAAACATGCATACCTCCAATGAGATTGTGCCACATCTCCGGCTAGCTTTCAGTGGTATCCATTTGTAAATGCTGTGGCGATCAAAGGACCCTAAAAGCAGATCATGAGTAAGATGTTGAGCACAATTATTGAAGCTGTATGAAAACAGTGATTCTAACACACTGACAGATTCAGACAGAATAATTTACACGTTTCTCTTTTATGAAGATTCTGAGATTGATTATTTTCTCATGTACAGAATCAAGAATTCTACTTTAACAGAACATTTGTGAATAAATGATACTGATAAAAGTGCCAATGAAATCTGTGCTCTGACGGTCAGTGACAGCAGACCAGCTCAGGAAAAAGCATGGCTAGCTGGGCAGCAGCAGATGTTTTGGATGCTGTTTGTCCCTGGCAGGATTCTTAATTAGTCCAAGCAGAAAACCACCGTGCAGGCTTCCTAAAAATATCAACCAATTAATTTCTGTCATTTAGAAGATTTTCTTGTTGGCATTACACAGATTAACAGGAGTTTTTACTATATGTGATGTCATAGACCCCTTTCTCATTCAGGAGAATCAGCCTTCAGTATGTGCAAATCTCCATTTATCTTCAGAGGTTTGACTCTTCCGTTTCAATTATTCTGCTACAAATATAGCTGCATCAGAGCAACTAGGAGGCCTCCAAGCAGGCCTGGGCGATAAAACGGTATCCATATTTATCGACGGTACACCTTCGATAACGATAGAAAAAATGGTCGATATAGTGCACGTGCTATGAGTGATGCAGACAGCACACACAAACACATGCTGAAATGAGTGTTGTGCTTGCGATGAGGAGATTGTGAATAAAGAATGAATATTAGTCGAATTTAAAATAAATATTTGCATTTGAATGTTAGGTGTGCATCAGGGAGCGTGAGATGCGGTGATGATGATGTAAGTGATGTTGTTGAATTTTAATGTTTTGTTAGCCTAGCCCACGAGACGCGCCGCTGCTGTGTTATTCATTCAAAATATTAGAGAAATATAGAAGCTCAATGCGGAGAAGATCTTGATTAGGTTAAAACCGAAACCAAGCCATTCACACTGAATGCATATTCAGTGCATTTTTTAGACGGAAAAATACGACTGCTGTCCTCGCATCTCACAAGAGATGTATAGAAAGCCATGCAAAGTTAAAACAGTTAAAACTTTTAGAAAACACGTCACGAGTTTGCGGAGGTTTATTCCTTTTCACTGCGTCTCATATGTTTTTAAAGGCAATCTGTGTGATGGGCGATTCGGCTCTTTGTATTAAGCAATGCATAAATACATGATGCTGTTTTGTTCATAATTGTTTATGCAATTTACGAAATTATATTTGATTTATATGAGTTAATTTAGACGTAATGCACGTTTTTTATAGACAGTTATTGCCTTGTTGACAATTTAAATGCATTATTTTGCTCATTGCGCCCTCCTGTGGCCTCGGGAGACAAGACAAAAGTTTCCTTAAAACCTATTTAATCTGCATACGAAACATTATAAATTAGATATTTAATTTTTATTTTGTGTTTGACTGTTAAAACAAAAAATATTTGTTGTTTGTCTCAAGAAATTGGGTTAATTTAAAAATACAGTGGTTAAATTTAAACTTTTTTTTCTATTGCTCTTTGTTTTAAAAAAAGGTTATAACAAATGTCGATAATTATCGATACCGAACGATATGGAACATTATATCGTTGATTAATTTTTTAGCTATATCGCCCAGCCCTACCTTCAAGCATAAGGAAAATAGAAGAAAAGCATTTGTCCTGATTCCTCTTCCGTGGCACTGATCAGTCCTGAATAAATAAATCCTGCCCATTGTCAGACTGCATTTGTGAACTTGCAGACCCACATGGCTGATTTAGAGGGCAAAACAGCAACCTGTCAACAAGCCTTTCTGAGAAACACAGTCGCTTATCGGGCCTGTCATCAGACTATTGTGTGCATGGCAGGAGCGGATCTGCCTAATCCATACGAATAAATCAAAGTCAGTCTCACACCCGCTGCTTTAGAGGGCAGGAAGGAAAGGCTTTCTTAAATTTATATTGGCTTTTCTGCCAGGTTTCCTCTTTTTAAGAATTGCGTGGAAGCACTTTATTTCGTTGTGGATGTGTTGATACTAGGGTGGGGTGGGGGGGTTCCAGTAGGTGGTGAACTGGTGACACATGTCAGATAAATAAATGGAGACGAGCATTTTAGTTCTGCATCATTTCCCGTGTTAATGTTCTGCACGGAGACTTCAAGAACTACACACACACATCTATCGGTCCAGCTGAATGAACACACTAAAATTGGAATTAATCACAGCACAAAACGGCACTAATGCCGATGAATAAAGTTATGAATTCATGCGGTGACATGTTTTATTTAGATGCCAGGAGGCAGAAATTAAGTATAAAAGATCCAAGTTTCTGCTCACTTCAGTTTCCAACCAGCAGTTAATATTCCTGTCATTAGTCAATTGTCTTTATACACAATAAACAGCTGTTTATGAGCAGTTCTTCACCAATTTAGCCATTAAAAGAAGGGCTTTTTCATTCAAAAAGTGACAAACTACAGCAGTAGTCTCTGAAGTAAATGTCTTGCTTAAGGGCCTAAGTTAACAGATCAGCCTGTGTAGAATCAAACCTTTTAATTACCAGCTAAGATCCTTATCCACTAGGCAACATCACTCCTGTTGTGATGAGAGATCATAAATTACTCCTCCTCATTACTGGCTTAGAAGTTTAGGAATAGTTCAGCCAAAAATAAGAAATTCTGTAATTTCCTCACTCTTTTCGAAATTTAACCTTGGCCCATTTTGGTTATGAGACATGCGGGAACCAATGAAAATGAGTACTGTACATTTTGTTCCTCAAACCAAAATTTAACATAACCACTGTATGATTTCAGAAGACTTTGAAAATACCACACAACTCTAATAGACCACTATTATAAGCGCTTTATCAGAAGCTTCCATCGTTCATTGAACCACTAGACTACCAGCACTATATCTCTAACATGCTTTACTTTTCATATACTGCAGATGAAAACTGGCCTCTAAGCAGACCACCCACAAGCAATAAAACAGCAGAAATCTGCTGCAAACACTCACATAAATCAAAATATGTGCTTCATTTGGTTAAGAAACTTATTTGTGAGAACGGGGTGAGTAATTTAATTTCAATTTGGCACCTCATTATAAATGCTTTCTTCTTCAAATTGAGATCCGTGCTGACACGAGTTGCAACCTGACGTCCGTGACATCTGCAGACAGAATCCGTGCGGTCCCTGACAAAAGCCAATTAAAGCAAGTTTTTGTGCAATACAGGGGCTTTTGTTTGGAGACGGTGTCAAGAGCATCTGCTAGTTACAGGGACATCTGATTTTGACAATTTGCTCATTTCCAACCACGGCAGCTTTTTGCTTCCTCTAAACTGTTTGTGATGCTTTTATTCCCCAAACAAAACATCAGCGAGACATGAAGTGTCAGTCTAATGGAGACTTGTGACGCATTGGGGTATTTTTGAACATGTGGAATGGAACTAATTCCTCTGATATTCTTTTTTTCCAACTCTGCGTTTCTAAATTGCTGCACTGACACAAGCCCTTGCCATAAAAAGTGAGTCACAATGGAGGAACAGCCAATCAGACTCTGGAGGTTGAATATAATTAAAAGTATGATGGACAAAAAACACAAAGTGAGAACTTTCTCTGTACTTTCGGATCTCTTGGTCACATCAGCATGACTGAGGAGTGTAAGAGAGCTCTACTCACTGCGATACTGTGATTGAACCCAGAACCCGGCTGAGGGCTGGCAGCACTGATGTAATTTCCCACTGCTGAGTCCTGACTGCTGGGGCCGTACAAGTCTGCCACGGGTCCAGGACTGTTTGCACCTGGAAAACCTCCAGGCCGTGGAGGGTTAGCACCTGTGCAAGACACACACCAGATTACTGATAAATCATATTTCAGTCACTAACATGGCCACTAAGGTGGAGAGAGATAGCTTCTATCAGAGTGTAACATGGGACAGAATATGTACACTACTGTTCAAAAGTTTAAGGACAGTACAATTTTTATTTATTAATGTAATTGATAATATAAATTATCAATTGATATTTTACTCCGCAAGGATTCAATAAATTGGTCAGTCAGGACAGTTCTTTTAAATTATAATGGTATTTCACAATATTGACGTTTTGCTGTATTTTTTTTTTTAAATAAATGCAACCTTCATGAGCATAAGAGACTTCTTTCAAACACACACAAAAAAATCTTACTGACCCCGAACTTTTGAACGTTAATGTATGACACGTTACTTGCATGGTACTGTATTGTATAATGTTCATTAAATGTAAAAAAAAAAAGTGTTAAAAGTGAATGTGTTAAAATGCTAAATAACACTGTCAGGGGCTGTTCAAACAGGACATGTTGTGTTTTTTTTAATTGGACTATGCAGACTACATGAATAAGTATAAGGGGTTTAGCTGCTGTATTTTTAAAGGGGTCATCGGATGCGACATGCAATTTTACAAGTTGTTTGAACATAAATGTGTGTTGGCAGTGTGTGTACACAACCACCCTATAATGATAAAAATCCACCCAGTTTATCTACTAAAATCTTTTCTAATGATAAAGATCCACCCAGTGGTTTTTAAAATAATTTCCCCTTTCTCAAATCAAGCCATTCTCAGATACCTGTCTGTGTGACGTCACACAGAGCCAGCTTCTCCCACGATTGTTGACTTTTTGAAGGGAATGCGCCCCCGATCTACCTAAATGTGTTTGTGTTAGCAGGAATGATTCGTGATCAAAAAGTGAGTATAAGGTTTTTTTATGAATCTTTGCAAATCGCCTTTCCTAATAACGTGCTAGTTAGCAAGTTCCGCAGCTAAAGTAAACGGTCTCATGAGAACGGCTCATCACCCCATGGAAAAGAGGGGTGGGGTGAGCAGAGCTCATTAGCATTTAAAAGAACATGCACTAAAACGGCTTGCTGAAAACAGAGCTGATTTTGACAAGTTAAAAGGGTGTTTTTACACTACCATTGAGAAATTAACCAAAGTATGTTATAGACTTTTCATTAAGACCCTAAAGAATCATATTAACTTGTGGAAAATGGGCATCCGATGACCCCTTTAAGACACCTGAATTCTGGTAAGCTCTTTCTGTTTTTAAATACAAAATTTTCCTGTATGAACGGCCTTCACATGTGGACAGCATATAGATTAAAAAACACCCACACCATCCATGCAAAACTGCACACAGCCACATGCTGCGCTGTGCATTAAGCAGGTCTGATCGAAGGACAGGGCAGAGAGAGAAACAGGCTTTCCTGCTGCGCTGTGAGCTGAGATTTCAAGTGAGTGTGAACAACGCATGTAAAGATCCAGCTTCCTTTGTGACTGCTCATTCCTCACATCTCTCTTCACAGTGACAGAATCCAGCTGGAGAAACCCCCAACATCACTGACTGCAGTCACCACAGGTATAAACTAGAGCCCAACTGATATATCGTTTTGCCGATATGAGCCTGTCGCAGATATATCGGTATCAGTGAATATGCCGCCGATATGAATTTTTTTTTTTACAGAACATATAACGCAGATTAAATGCTTCTGAATGGTGTAATTACTTAGTTTGTCCAGCAGAGCGCGCTCCATTGTTTGCTACTGGCGACCCAGGTCAGTGCAGAGAGGCGCAGATGAGCTCAAACCTCACCCGAGTCCGCTGCTTCAAATGATCCGATTCTAATTCTTAGTTTTGCATGATGATATGATGAATGGATGGTTCATTTATAACAGCAGATTCAGTGACGCTAGAGACTAGAGCTGATCTGCTGCGCATCACGGCACGTGTCTGCGACGCATTAAAGCCTGTGTTACGGCCACTGGAGCTCATCGCGGCTGGTTTGGTGTTTATACCGGCCGTGCCGCGGCCCAGAACTCATGCTTATCACAACGGTCACATCACATCGCGCGGCATGTGTCCGGTGTAGAACAGAACCCATTATAATCAGTTATGTTGTCTACACTGGATGCAGTAAACTGATGCCTCGTTCTATTTATGACATGCTGACACAAAGTTCAGCGCAGTTGCAGTGCAGACACTGTGTCAGCATAGTTTGTCAGTACAGTCAGTAACGTAGCAGATTGAAAAGTTAGTATCTTTCTGCAGTCCAATAAACGGCAGTGCGGTGGTTTGAGTCTGTTGAATGGTGATTTAACCCTACGTTGTCACCTAGTTGGAGAGACTCAATGCTAATTAAATAAACAACAATGTTTCACTCTCACGTTTTAATTATGAATTATTATTATTTATTCATTTTAGATGTTTACATTTGGAAAAGCTGTGCTTCCTGCATAAACCTGCCCCTGTTGGTTTGGCAGTAGCTTGCTTGCCCTACACAGTTACCTTGTTTAATTTCTTAATTCAAGTTATATATTTTTTTGTTCTATTTGCGTTAAGTTATTTATAATAAGTGAAGTGAAGTTTACTGTTAAGTGCACTGATGTCAGACTCATTTTGAATAATAAAGTTTATTGTTAAATACACTGCCTCCACTACATAGGCCTATGTATGTCACATCATTATAAGTGTTTGATCACCACATTTGAGTTCTCATTGCAAAAAATGTGTTTATGTATATATATATTCTGTTTATGTAGGCTATATACTGTATTCTATATACAGTACCAGTCAAAAGTTTGGACACACGAATGGGAAGTGTCCAAACTTTTGACTATACTGTACTATAATATAGCCTACACAAAGAATATCAGCCGACATATCGATATCAGCCTTTTTTACTCCCTAATATCGGTATCGCCCCCCCCACAAAAAAAAAACATATTGGTCGGGCTCTAGTATAAATCAGATGGAGGACAGAATTATTATGATGCACAAAGTGAGGTAATGATGTCACGCACTGTATTGACCTTTATATTAGACTTAGTCTTATTTACTAAAACCCCCTCACATTCATCATTTTACTATCAAAGATGGTCTGACTGCAGAAGGTTCATAAAGAATTTATACATGTAAGTATATATAGAAATAAATATTTAGTTTAGCTATATTTTTTAACACTGTGGTTTTCAGTTAAGTCACATAGATTGTGTTAATGATGACAGACAGCATTAACTAACTCTCTGGCTGCCTCTGGACGTGCTTCCCGTGTCTTATCTGAGTGCAATGGCTTTCCTCGCTTTCACAGTCTGTGTGTACTGTAATCTTTATTCCATATAATTGCTGGATTCTGTAAAGGTGAGTGCCATGCTTTCTCTCGCTTTGCCAGGAATAGGATTTATGCTCTAAATTAAACCCTGGGGCTAAACCGTTACTGCTATTAGCTTTAATAGCTAAACATGACTTCCATTTATTGGCTTTGACTGGTAGCTTAGCAGCACCCATGCTAATTAAACCCACTGGCCTGTGATTACGCAGCATGTTTCTGAGACACAGGTGACTCATCTGTCCCGCTCTGGCTACCAGCGTTGGGGTTCTAATCGATGTCACTCTGCACATCCTTTGGCGGGATAATAAAGTGTTTTTGCTGAGCAAAGCTACACACCAACAGCATCAGTATTGACCCCTGAAAAACCCACAATGCATTGACTGTGTCCAAGTTGCCACAGCAACAAGCATATAGTAGACATTTGGACAGACATATCAGGTAGCACGCCTGTATTTAATAGATCTCTCAAAACGCTCTAAACACGTACTGTAAAGCAATATTAAGGTCATACATTGTAGCATCAAAGTAGAAGATGAGTTTTTGTTTCCAATGTCAACACAAAAAATATAGCTAAAGGATGTTTTTTTTTGTTTTGTTTGGCTGATAAAAGCAAAAATATAAGACGGCGAAAAAAAACTCTGAGAAGTGGAAAGCTAATAACAAAATGCAGCAAATCACAAGTATCTACAATTTCTAGTCTAAATGCACTTCAGAGATCTTAAAGTCAACAGAAATGGTGTTCCCAACTATCATATGACACATAGAAAAGACTAGAAAAAATTATAAGAAAATTCGTTTTTTTCCATTTAAATTATATACACTCAAGAATGGATTTAGATTTAGACTTTGTACTGTGAATCCAAAGTTAGCAGCCTCAGAATGAGCACAGGTTAGGCTACAGTCTAAACCCACATCTACGTGATCACTGGTGTAAAGCAAGAGAACTACAGACATTTCCCTGTTGGCTGCCAAATGAAATGAGGCAAAAGAAGTAGGACAGAATGAGCCGAATCTCAAAGATCCACGACACCTGGCCTGGCACAAGCTGTGGCGCCACAGTGATTAGGAGACTACCGCAGATGGGCGGCACAACGCGTGACTTCACTACCTCTTTCATTGGGACAAGACAATGAGGTTTGACGTGCATCAGTTGATCCACAGATTCAAACCATGACTGGAGGATTGTTTTAAATCTGTTTTCTAAACAGCCAGTCATGCAAAACTTTTAATTCCAATGACTTGCATTTATACATATGCAATGTGGGAGACAGGAAATACAAGCTCAGATGAATTTGGCTGTGGTGGTGAGATCAGCCATGCAAATTTGTATTATTGATACCCTATACTACACTTCATACAGATGTTGCATGAGTTTACACCTGGTGTTAACATCTGGGGCAGTGCAGATGTAAATACAGTCCAAATTTTTCATTTATGTTAATAAAGCTACTCTCATTCATGACAGAGATTAAAATTATATGTATAGTATATATTTCGATATAGGTAGGACTGATTTCTTTGTACTTTAACATGCAGTACATGAGTGGATACACATGGTAGGGTTTGAAAAAGAAAGTAAGGAGAACAACTCTCAGCATGCAGTGTACCCAAATGCTGGGACACTCATGTACATTTGGAATGAGAAAAAATGAAGGAGCATTTCCCAATACATCAGAAGGAACGAGTGTTAGAAGCAAAACATGTCTAGGACAAAATATGCAATACACACCTGAGCTCTTAAAGTGGTCCGGGCTTGGGTGGTGCTGGGAGGGTGAGTTGCAGGTAGGGGTGACGTGCTCGCTTTGCAGCATCTGACCCGTATGGGGACCCAGGCTGGCATAGTCGGCAAAGGAGCAGGGGGCGCCCCGCTGGTCACTGGGCCCAGAATAAAAGCCGTAATCGGGGAACCCTGGGAAATACGCAGAGTAGGTGGAACGCCGTCATTGAGAAAAGAGGTGTTTATGATACACAAAGATGAAGTGACTGAGGCAGTGACGTATGCGTGGCAGGAAACAATATGAGGGTGAATGATGCTCATGTACACACACTTATACTCAATCTGTTAGTAGTTACACAACTCTATCAGAGATGCTAGCAAAGGTCTAAAAAGAAACCTATGAGTAAACAGATTAGATATGGCGAATACAGTGATGAATAAAATGTGGTTCAACAGCTCAATGAATGAATGAATGAATGAATGATGCATTTATATAGCGCTTTATTGTGTATTGTTGTACACCCAAAGCGCTTTACAATCATATAGGGGGGTCTCTCCTCAGCCACCACCAGTGTGCAGCATCCACTTGCAGCATCAATAAAGGACGTTAGACATTAGCAGACATGAAGACGCTTTGCAATGGCGGATTATGAACACCTCAGAGGATGTCATTTGACTGCTTCAGCAATGCTGACATTTATAGCTAGTATTTTCAATCCTACGTGTGAGTTTGATATACAGAGGGCATTAAAAGTCTTCATTGGCCTTTCAGAAACAGAAAGACGATCCAATCAAAGAAAGCTGGGATCCACCACACAGGCTTTTCATCTTGCGTCTCCCCTGCTGCATGTTTGCTTTTCACTGGGGTCTGGGACCTGCAGGAGCGTCCTGGAGCCGTGCCGAACATCACAGCGCTGATTATGCCCTCAACAGCTGCCAAGAGTAATCTGAAGCTCTAAGTAGTTTCTCTGTCATCAGCTTCGCAACTTTCCCTCACCGTCCGCGGTTTGTGGGCAAAACGCCTGCCTGTCAAATTACGCTCAAGTGTTTGAGGAATGGCACCACTCCAACACCACCTGCTTACTGTAATACATGACTTGAGGAATCGTATTGAGGAAATGTATTCCTGTAATGATTCCAATTACATCTCTGTCTGAACTCAAGCTTCACGTGTAGGATTCAGTGAACACACACTGTATAAAAATATGTATGCATATAAACATATGCAGATGTATGAATATGACCCTGGTATCTCTGAAACTGCTGAATTTAAAGGGTTAACATATTAAAGGAACAGTTCACCCCAAAAAGAAAAATGTGCCGTCATTTACTCACCCTCACATCATTACAAAAATGCAAAAAAAAAAATTCTTCTAAGCAACACAAAAGATGAAATTTTGAAAAAAAAAATGTTTTTTTTGTCCAGACAATGAGGTCTAATATTGTTTATAACCGCAATGACTTTCATTCTATGGGTAAAAACACTCTTCACATTATCTTTTTTTTGTCACACAGGTTTGAAATGACAGTAAACGATGACAATTTACATTTTTGTCTGAACTATTCCTTTAAACAAAGCTGGTGAGCACCCTCAAATCAAATTCTGCAGAAGTCTGTGGCATTTCCTACAGGGTTCTGTGTGGGACACACTGGGGTTGTTCCAGGTCACCGCTAGGCTTCCTAACTCTTTAGCGAAATTGGACATTTCTGTTCAGAGTCTTTAGGATGTTTCTCTCCCGACCCTGCACTGTTACTCAGGACTAAACCGACTTTCACGCTCGATCTCAACTACAAAAAGAGACCACAACAGCAAAGCAAAGGCCAGAGACACCCTTTTCTTTTCGGAATCCATCGCCAGTCGTCCTTGAATTTTAAAGTGGGTTTTCTGCTCCTCGCTAATTAGAAAAGCTTCCGCTGCCTCTTCTGCACTCTCTAATTAGATCTTTAACAACAAACAAGAGTCGACCTCTACATGGACTCCTCCATTTGTTAAATGGCTGAGCAGGGTGTAGGTTGGCAAACGTGCAATGTCCCCCTCCCGCAACATCTTTGCACGCATTCCGCGAGTCGCAGATTGCCAGGACACCACAATGACGGTTTCCTGTTCCATCTGCCTAATTCGGCCCATTACAGGATACTGGGAGAGGCAGTACACAAAGCCGACATTCACACACACAACGGATGTACACAGCTGCTTTGTTTATGCTGACATGGACAATTAGCCCTCAGCTGCACAAGGCGCTCAGTCGAGAAGGTCTTATCTAATAAAGGCAGGGAAAATTACCTTTATTGTTCAGGTAGATTGCCTCTAATGATAGTGGCATCAGTGTAAAAGGATATTAATAAAATGAGGCTGAAAAGAGCTCTTCAGTTGGATGGCAAAACAGCAGAAGCAGCCATCTGGGAGTGAGCCGCTGCCTGATTATCTTCCTCTGCCTATTTTCTTTTCAGAGCATACAAATGATTTACTTTCACTTGAGCAAAGGTGAGAAACAGAGAGGGATTGGACAACGCTGCTCTGACATCAAAGTTAGAGAAATAATAGCTTTCCTCTGATTTTTCTAAAACAACACGTACTCTCGCAGCACGTTGTAGAGGCAGCGAGCATCTCCTCGGGGGGTTGTGGCGATGTGGGTGTCTGCCGCAGAAATGTGTTTAGTCTGCGCAGCACAATATGTGTGCAAATTAACGAACTGCTAATGAACACCAATCGAAGGCTGTTTTAGTTGTATGGACTTCTGCTGTAGCACTTCATCAATAACACAATATTCCAGCACATCACCAGAGCTTGATAATTCAGCTGGCAGCATGCTAAAGCTGGAAATCTCTGTTACAGCAGTCTGGGCATACGAGTCAATGAGAACAGCAATACCACTGCATGTGCCATAAATGTGCATTAAAGTTAGCAGGAAAAATAAGGAAAATAACCTTGTCTTTATTGTCTTTAGGTAAACTAACAAATTGAAGAGTGGGTTTAAATCGAATCAGTTTCAAATCTTTACTGCCACATGACCAGAGTCCGTTTAGTTTGATCAACTTTTAGATGAAAATAGGGCCATTGCATTGACTTTGTACAGGGCATTATGACCGCAAATTTATATCACTGTATTTTTCAAAATTATACCGGTTTCACAGTATATGACAATATTTTTTTCATGCATGACTGGGTGTTTACCACATTTTCTACTGATTGAGAGAGGAAATACTGCAGTAGATTGACTTATGCAGAATGCCCTATTTTACGGTCATGATGAGTGAATATTGTAGAAAAATTCCACACTAAATAGTGACTACACGACCCATTAATACATGTTAACCAGGCGTCACTCTCACTTTACTCCTTAAATCCTGATTTATAATTGATAAAATCAACATGAATCTAAACTAATGAGCGGCTATGCGACGTTTTTTTTGTCTCATGCAGCGCACTGCCTGGGTCTGAGTAACAAACTAAGTGCATATTAACAGACAAACTATGCTCATATTGCAAGTCATCCACTCTGTCGAAGTCTTCGTAAACATGTCTGAAGATTGTTTCCTCTGATTGTATAAAAAAATTTTTTTTTTTAAAAAGGCACAGCGCTTCGGATTCTGCATCAGAACACCGGCTCCTGCATCAAGAGCACCTGTAGCGAATCAGCTCATGGGGAAATATGAATAATTAATCATAACTAGTTATAATTAATTATAAATATTTAGATCCGCTGTAGATATTTACTTGACCTCTCAGGGTCAACTGTCTGTCAATTCTAAGAACGTTAATTTCCTGGTTAAGGGAAATAACTTTCTTACTGTACAATTCTACACAGAGCTTGTAGCATAAATCTGCATGATTAAGTGACTCCAGTTATGAGCAAACAATGAACAACATCAAGTGTGATACAAGTAAGACTTTATTAACTACATAAACACTTAAACTAGTCTAACATACTACATAAACACTTAAACTGGTCTAACATCCTACATAAACACTTAAACTGGTCTAACATACACATACACACACACATGCATACAGTTGGTATAGGAAAAGGAGTTAAAGTTTAGGCAGTAAAAAGGAGAGAAATAAGGAATGAAGTTATGGAACCATTTGCATATTCAGCAGATTTACAGCCTGAAGGGAACATCAGATTCCTTAGTTCAAACACACCTTTGTAAAAAGGTACAAATGATGTCTAAGGTATCAATTAATAAGACTAAGTCTGATACTTGCACATCTCGTCTGTCTGAAAGAGGCTTGATGAAAAAGAACCAGTTTGAGTCAGAGAATCTTGGTGAATGGAAAGGTCAAGGCCGAAGCCTGGCACGAGCTTAGGATGTCCTGGAGCGTTGTAGCTCACATTTTCATCTTCTCAGAATTCAACCAAACCACCGACGCCGGGGGGGTCACTGATGTGAAGGCGAATTCATAGATACTAAGCATGGTAAGATTACATATAGGTAAGATGACAGGAATGAGTGTTTCGATCATAAGCCTGCATAAAACAGTATAAAATCTCAAAGACAACATACACGATGACCTGAAGGATATGTGTGTTCATTCAAAGAAAGGTTTTCCTATGGATTAATTAGAGAAAAGTCCATTTCTACTGTGCATTGTGTCTCTTCCTATAAAAAGGTAGTGATTTTCCCTACTCACATTCCTGTGGGTCATAAAACCAGTGATATCAGCATTAGTTGCCATGGGGACCAGGGGGGCCTGGTGTCGTTGCAGACATCCTGGCACCCAGTTTATTGGGTGAGGGGACTGTGACGATTTGTTAATCTAATGAATAACTGATTTGTTAAATCAAATGAAAAATCGTGTGTTTGATTGGTCTAGACGCTACACACCACACGCATGTGTCGTGGTACTGTCGTGAACATGCATCGAAGACGGACACAGAAGAGACGTAATTGTTGAATGAAGTCGTTATTTTTGTTTTCTTCTCACAAAAAGTATTCTCGTAGCTTCATAAAATTATTGTTGAACCACTGATGTCACATGGACTATTTTATTGCCTTAAACATGGTAGTTGAGCTGCTGTTTATGCAGGGTCAGAAAGCACTCAGATTTCATAAAAAATATCCTAACATGTATTCTGAAGATGAAAGAAAGTCTTATGGGTTTGGAACGACATGAGGGTGAATATGACAATTTTAATTTTTGGGTGAACTAACCCTTTAAAATAAATCTTAAATAATAATACTTCGTA